CCCAAGCAGAAGAAGCTGGCCCTTCAGAAGAAGGTTCCACATGGCTACAGCGAACTAGATTTTTCAGGGAATGAAGATTTTGTACTGATAATTCAGCCTCCAACAAACGAGCTAGTGGTAAGGAGCGCCCCCCCCAACCTCCAGCCTTCTATCTCTGTTTCTCTGTCTCGGTTCCTATCTCTCCCTCCTTCTGTCTTCCCTTTTATCTATTTTGTAATTTTTAAAAAATAAAGAATAGTAATTGCAATTTTTAATTTTTTTTTCATATTTTTTGTCTTTTTTTCTCTTTGTTGTTGTTTTTCTCTCTCTGTTTAATTTTCCTTTTTCTTGTCTCTCCACCCTCCAATATCCTTTCAATGTGTTTTTAGACAGATCTAAGAGCACTGTAGCTAAACATCCAAATACTAATAGGGTTAAAATATTCCCCACTATCTACTGAATCTGCTGCACCAGCAATCACAACAGAACTGCCAAGAGATTCTAGATCACCTCTGTCTGCTTGCTCCTGAACATTCAGGCTTAACTTCAAGAATTTGAAAGAAACACTACATCCATCAGATGACAAGAAATCACCGCCAGATCATGAGAAATATGGGAAAACAAGAAAATACCTCTCCTCCAAGGGAAAAGAGTAACTCTTCTTCATCCACAAGCAGTTCAGTGAAAATCATGGAAATGTCTGATAAGGAATTTAGAGCATTCATAATGTCTAAGCTAACAGAGATGAAAGAGAAGAGAGATAATGAACTGTTAAAGAGAAAGGAGAAAGAAGTTGATGAGTTCCAGGAGATGAGGAAAATCTTCCAAGATCTAAAAGAGGAATAACACACTTTACAAAAGACTCAAATGTAACTGCTAGAGATGAAGTCTGTAATACAAGAAGTCAAAATCTCCCTTGAAAGTATGAAAAGCAGACTAGATCATTCAGAAAACAGAATCTCAGATGTAGAAGAGAAAATGGCTGGCCTAGAAAAATCCACCACGAAGACTAAGAAAATGGCCCAAAAATTTGAGAATAATATGCGAGAAGTACTGGATACCATCAAACGTCCAATATCTGGATAATTGGCATTCCAGAAGATGAAGAGACCCATAAGGGCATTGATAATCTATCCCATGAAATCCTGCAAGAAAACTTTCCAAACCTAGAGAGGCATTTGAAGATCCAGCCCCAGGAAATACAAAGGACCTCAAATAGAATCCATCCAAGAAGATGTTCTCCAAGACACATTATAGCCAGGTTGACCAAAACCACAGACAAAGACAAGATACTAAGATTGGCAAGAGAAAAACATCAAGTTACCTACAAAGGACATCCCATCAGGGTAAGAGATAGGGAATCAAGGATGGGGGGGAAAAAGCAAAACATACAGAAAACAAGAAATGGAAGATCATTTGCTGACAATAACATGTTTGTTGATGTGCTTGATTAAGACAATATACAGTGTACTCTGTATGGAAAAAATCTCATTTTGTATGCTGTAATGATGTACAGTGAATGAATGCATATAAATAAATTGAAATTAAAAAAAAAAACCTGAAGGCTCCAGGGAAAAATTTACTGTCTTAGCTGGAAGTTCTTACCTGGTTTGGGCAAGCAACAGATAGTCCCTAACTACAAAGAGTTTCTCATCTATGTGCAGTTAACTATAAAAAACTGCTAATAAGACATCCTGTGTTGTCTTCTGAGCTACAAGATCATCTTCCTTTCCTATATGGGCAATAGGCCGCAATAGGCTCACCCCCTTTAGCTGTAATATATAGATAGTTCATGTATTAACTGTGTCTTTATTTAACAAGACAAGATTTCTATCTAGGCCTTTGTAACCAGCAATGTTGCTGCCCTGGCCTGGGACTGAAGTTATCAAGCTGGCCTGGGACTGAAGTTATCAAGCTTCCTGCAAGCCCCTTCTTTCAGAGACCCTTCCCAGTAATCAAGATCTAAGAAGAAAATACAACAGACAAATGGACTTTCTCTCCTGAGAACTGTGGTTGATTTTACCTAATCTGACAAGACAAACAGCATGTTTTATAATTATTGTTTCCATGCTTTGTATTACCTATTTTTAAAGTAAATTTTTTACTTCCCCTCACCCCCCTTACTTCCTAAACATCCCTCAATAAATACATATGCTTTAATAGCCACTGGGCTGCAGTCTGGGGCTGGCTCTGTCTGTAGCCAGCTGAGAACATGCTAAGAGACATTGAGATCTCAGTCTAATTTTTGTTCCTCATCACCCATGTCACCTTTCTGTGTATGAGTCTCAACCCACCCCAGCTGGAGCAGGGCTTCCGGCAGACCTTAGAGGAGAAAAGTAGTCACTCACTGATACTTGAGTCTGAAAAGAGGGAGAGTGTAGACATGCCAGCTAGTTGGAAGAAATATCCAGATTTCTGTCTTTGATGGGGTTGGTACTTTCACACAAACTGGGAGTGAGGGTGGGAATGCACAAGGCTCTTGGTCTACATTGTGCAAATGAGCTTGTAGTTTTCAGTCATTGGGGGTATTCCCCTCATTTCTCCCATTAACAGAGGATTCCTCTCCTCTGTATTGTCTCTTTCAACCCATAGAACTGTGGAGATGTAAGATTGGTCCTAATCATATTCTATCCTCTACCACCTGGTTTGCTTTCAAGACTGCCAAGCTCTTAGGGCAGGGTGGTGAAGAAAATGTAATGTTTACACTGAAGTGCTATAACTTTTTACTTTTCTTATAATGAGTGTTACCTCCTTGCCAGTTTTATTATGCAGTTGAAGAGTGCTGGGGTCTGAGGTTGGTGTATAAAATATGTAGTTTTAGAGGATAGTTCCTCTCACCTTCTCTTTTGTGGTGCACAGGGCTCTGGAGTGTCTCCATGTTCAGATAATTTACTCATTCTTTATGTCTCTAAGCTGATATTCAGTACAATAGGAGCTTCCAGTCTATTTCTTGCAGTTTGTCGGTCTTGCATCACTCCACTGCTAGAAGTGTTGGCATTTATTAGATGCTGTTTCTTTTCAGAGAGATGCCACAGTAGGTGTTTCTCATCATCCAGATTGATTTTCTTGAAAGTAGATGTCTCTTGAGCATTAGTTTACCATCTTTTCAGGTCAAAGCTTCCTGAATAAAACTACCTTTCCATTTCATCAACACTTTTCTCTCAATTGTTGGCTCTTCAGCAGCGAGCATCTGAAAGTCGTGTTTACTGAGACCTAGCTGCACCTACTTCAATAACAATAAAAGGTACCACTAAGAGCAAGCCCATATTTTTTATTTATTTCTAAAATTTATTTCAGAATGAGGAAATAAATCACAATGAGTTAAAATGTCAACATGGTACCTTAAATATTTTATAATCATCTGTTTTAATAAGCTGATATTGGAGAAGATAACATGTTCATAAGCATCAGGGGGAGCATATTGCAAGCCAGCAGGTGGCATGATAGTTGAGGCACTGGGTTCCTATGTGATTGACCATGGTCCATGTCTTAGGCCTGAGGGCCTGCTTGGTCACTTTCCATGTCTTCCTTTCTCTGTAGACACCATAGATAGTGTGAGAAGAGGGTGGGAAAGGACAGAGGGTTAGAAATACAGGGTAAAAAAAATTCTATAAATTAGAAATGGAAAATTTTAAAAATTACAAGACATAAGAATTGGAAAATTGTTTGCTGAAAACATGTATGTTGATGTACTTGATTGAGCCAATACACAGTGTATTTTGGATGGAAAAAAAAAGAAAAGTTTCAGAAAAATAAAACTGTTTTTCTTGAAATTAAAAAAAATGCATCAAAAATACCTATTTGATGACTGCAGTAAGATATATAGCCCCAGCTAGGTGCTATTTTATAGGACGTTCATTCTACTCACTGAGGCTTATGCCTAAAGTTGGACTTATGTTCATGGAAATGTATATTATCAACCATGCTTGCTATGAAAATATTTAGATTAATTATGATCTTTAGTGACTCAATAAAATGTGGGGGAGGAAAGTATAGAAAGCAAACATAGATACGAGAGACAGTGTGGGAGGAGAGCGGGAGACGACAGAAGGTAAGAGATAGGGAATCAAAGATGGGGAGTAAAAAGCAAACCATACTGGAAACAAGAAATGAAAAATTATTTGTTGATAACACGTAAGTTGATGTGCTTGATTGAGCCAATATACAGTGTACTCTGGATGGAAAATCCCACTTTGTATGCTGTAATGATGTACCGTGAATGAATGTTAATAAATAAATTTATAAAAAATATTTTTAAAGAAAGAATCCTAACCTGTTTCCTGACTTTTAAGTTTCAAGCAACATTCCTTATGATTTCTTCGATTTATGTTTAAACTGCTTTCTTGAAATTACCAGCATAGCTTGCTATTGAAACTAGTTAGATTGTTTAAGAAATTGTGTCATCAATACAATGTGAGGGGGAAAAGAATGGAAGACTAATGTAGACACCAGAGATAGTGTGAGAAGAGGGTGGGAAAAGGCAGAGGGTCAGAAATAGGGGTAATATAGGCTGGAATCGCCATCTTCCAGTAATTAACCAAAATGATGAACACAAAGGGAAAG